TAGTTTTACAGCTGAATGTCTGCTTTGTATTTTCTTATTTTTTATTTAATTTTATTTTTATAAACAATATTAGAAATCTTCGACCATTCGGGAATAATTCTGCTTGAAAATTAATGCGCCTGTCTTTGACCATCTTTACGCAGTGATCTCCCCTGAATTTTTCGGCGTAAGTGTACATATAAAGGGAAGTAACCGCTTAAAAAAAGTGGACTACTTTCGGCATTTGCAATTAACAGCATTAGGCTCTGAAATTTCGCTACCATTATTTGTTTGGTCTCACGACCCAAACAAATAATAAAGGGCAGTCTATAGAATGTTGTCATAGGTTTACAATCAAAGGAAATAATGTTCTCAGATCATTAGCGAGATTTCTAAAATATGATCCCTACTCTGACCTTTTATTTGAATAACAAGATATTTAACCAAACATGTTTGCATGTGCTCTTTTGCTAAATGCAATATTCTGATAATTTGAATGTAAGGATATTGTAAGCTAAGCCGAGTTGACCTGATAAAATTACGCGTTTTATACACGATTAAGCCAACGCGGTCTCAAACGTGCCCAACTCGGCGTTAAAATCGGCGCACAAAAATCGATTTTCAGTTTAATTTCTTTATAATCCGTTGCAGAATTTTTCCACTGTCGTAATTCATTTCATCTAATTTTAAACTTTTCGTTTTTTTTACCATAGTTGACCTCCTTCAAAGGTTATATATGGGGGCGGGTTTACTCGCCTCTGTGTTAACATTATAAATTCTAGTCTAATATGTTTGTAAAGGTTATTGTAAACTTGATCAAATGATACTTGAATAAAAACAACAAAAACAAACAATCAAACAAAACAAAAAAACAAACAAAAACAAAAAAACTAAAAAAAAACAATGTATACGATACCCAAATTGGAAGCATGTTTAATATTTTTTCTTTTGTCTATTAAGCGAAATTTGGGTGTGAAATTAAACATCAGCAGCAGCAGCAGTAGCACCAGCAGAAGCAGAAATAAACAGCAAAATAGCGTACGTGTCTTCTTTAAAAAAAATAATCATAAAAAATGATCTGAGCATGCGCAGTGAAAATATGCTAGTTAAGGTATGACCATCCTAATGGGCGCTATTAGGAAAGCTGACAAATGACAATATAGGTCACCTTAGAAGATATCTGAATGCAAAGTTTGAACAAAATTTGCAATTCGGTTGTAAGTAATGGACAGCTGTTATATTAGGAGGGCTGTGTAACACCGCATTTGGGGTCAAACGCACTTTCGGGATCAACCCCAATGTGCGTTACGCACGCAAAGTTTGACCCCAAAGTGCGGTACACAGGTGCATATGCATTTTTTGACATCAGTAAAACGACCGCACATTTGGGTTATAAAAATTCAACCAATTAGAACGAATTATAGTGATATTTTAGAATAGTATCTTGTAGATGAATCAATTAATTGCAAACCGAAGTAGACGAAATATTAAGTTGGCTAACAATTATGGCAAACGATTGATTATTTTAATTTGTTATATCCAATAGTTGCAATTTATTATAATAATGTTTTGTATTCAATTACATGCATTTTTGTTATAGGATAGTGGCCTTAAAGTAATAAGATATATGTATATGTATGATATGTATTGTGTGTAATGATACATTATATAACATATCCATGACCCGATAATTGTAGAGATTGCATGTCACACATTATTCCATCTATTTTAAAAACAGTTCTTTATACGATTAGATCTGTTCAGGACCCATTAAAAAAATCTGGATTTACCCTATTTCTAGTTATATTAAACGAAGGTAACCTTTTGAATTGATTGATTTTAGTTTTTTTTCTATGTTGAATGTTGTAGAAGACTTGCATTAGAAGGAATTCAGGCTGTGTCAATATGTCACTACTGGAAAAATGAAATATTTAAGATTGTTTCCAAGATGGATACCATATTATAAGAATACACCATGTTTAAAAATTTATAAGTGCATAAATGAACTTCACGTCTAATTATGGCAGGAATTATATTCAGTCACGTATATTTTGTAATTTTCAGAAAAAGACATCTCGTCTCATTTTGTTCTTGTGGTACATCAAACAGATACGTTTGAAGTATTACCCAAAATAACATGTAAGTTTATTTTGTTTCACTTTATAAATTGTCCTGCGTTGTAAATTTACGTTTACTTCAAATTTTAGTCCTTTTTTATGTTTCAGTCTCATAACGGCGTCCAAAATAACTACAAATAAAAAAAGTCGTTGCGGAAGTATTAAAGTATATTTTTTAAGAAAAAGTTTAAGTTGACTTACAGACCTTTTACAACGCGGCCCGTTGCTATGAAAAATTAACCAGAGTTAGTATTTTTACGCGAATGCGAATTCTGCGTAGGGCAAAAGAGCCTTGTCTTAAATAGAAATGTAGGAAAAAAATAATAAACAATTCCGAGTTAGTTTAAGGTAAAAATTAGACAATTATATAAAATTGCTTTTAAGAGAAACACCAAAGATGCCTTTATAGGTTTGTTGCCAAAATTGCCCAACAAGGCATGGAAAATACGATTGTTTAAAAATTCCCCCTTGCGATCACGGACCTGACATTTAGATTATTGTTGTAAAAAATGTGGAAATATTCATTACCAAATAAAGAAGTTAATTTAATTGTTGTTGAAATCGTCCAAATAAAACATTATCATAACATTATATAAATAACACATGGGTTTGTAGGTAACAGTAAACATATCATCCCGAAGAAAATAATGTTACCCGATGGTTACAGTATTTTTACGAGGAATGATATTTTTGCTGTTACACACAAACCCATGTGTTATTTATTTCATTAACCCGAACAAATACTGTGATGATCTGAATTTGTAAGCTAAATCTTACAACCAAGAGTAGCAAAAACTAAACTGTCCTTATCTTGCAACTCTTAAGAGTACTGTAGGCCTACTTGAGAAGCTGTTTTTCTTTTATTCTTTAAGCAAGTGATGATATCTTCCAGTCATAAACATACAGTAAACTGTGTTTCGTGGTGCCCCAGGCCCTATCGTCGAAAATAAGAATGAATCGAAAGAAAAATGGCGGTCATTTTATTTGATTTTATTTAGAAAATAATGGCGTTAAAAGGCATGTTTATGGCGTAAAAGTTAGTACTCAATATTAAAACAGAACTTAGTTGACACCAGAACTCTAAAACCCAGAATGCGTTGATATGTAGCATATCAAAGTACATTGGGGTCAATTTCCAAATTTTGACCCCAGAGTGCGTTTGACCCCGGTAGTACGCTGTGAATTTTACCGCACTTTGGGGTCTGATCTTAAAGTGCATAACCTGACTGACCTATATGACAATATTAATGGGTTTACACGGTGTGTAAATCAATCGACCAATCAAATAACCTGATTAAAATATCTACAGACCGGATCGCGCATTACTAAAATCTATGTGGACTGGTATTACGGAATAAATCTTTCCCCTTTCGAATAAATTCCTTCAAGATCTTAAATAAAAGTTGTAATTTGTGATTACGTGTATTCTCATGTCTATGTATGTTACATATTGAGATATATCTAAAGTTACATTATGCTTATTCGAGGGTATACAGTGAGTGAACAGGTGAAGCCTGAAAATCCCAAATTGCGGTGGTACAGGGTTGTCATTCAGAAATATGAAAAATGGAGAAAAAATATAATGTCCTTCTGGAATTTTTTTTCTTATTGATTTTTATTTAAGAAAAGAAAAAATAACGTCCAGCCCTCAAACCGCACAAGCAAAATGATTGTTTTCACTCAAAATATCTAAAATTGAAAAAAGTGTTGCACTTCCTCTACATTATTAAACACTTGTTTGAAATTTCTGCTTTTATTAAACTATGTCAGAATATCCCCAATTACAATACAATTGAAAGGCCGTTTTCATAAAGTTTGCCTAAATTTTCCTCGAAAGTAAAATGGTTAATTTTGATAAATATCAAGCACATGTACTTTAATTGTGTAAATTTTCTTTTATTAGTCTTAAATAAGAAAATATCAAGAACCCTTTTTCTTATTACTTTTTACATTTTTTGCCAATAAATGATGTATTATTTCTTACCAAAATAATCTTAGAGTAACAAAATAATGTTTAAGTGGGTTGGTCTACAAGGGGCACATTTTTTTTATATAAAATTGCAATATATTTACAAATATTGATAGAACAATAGAAAAGGTATCATTTGGATATATTTTCATAAAAAATAAAAGTTGTTAGAAAAAAAATGTTGATTTAGTTTTAAAATGACTTACAATGAACATTTATATGATTAATAATACTATTTTGTTCAAGAACTTTTTTTCATCTGCTATATAAATATGTGTGATATCGGATCATGTATCTCACAAGTGTCAACAACTTCCATAATTATGCACGAGGTTCTTAATGTCTCATACTAAATACTTTCAACATAATTATTTATCGTCCACAGATATTCCATTAAAGACCAATTCACTTTAAATGATAAAGAAAAAAAAAAGAATAAAAAAGTTGCTCCTTTTGGGATTTAAACCAATCCTCAGTTTCCATGCAGTTGACAGTATATGTAACCTTTACAATGTGGGTATTATTAATAAAGAGAATCTATTTATTGTTAAAATCCTAAACAAAAATATACCACTCAAACCAAGAGGCCCCCTCGCTCAGATCGATTTTTCTTAAATATACATTTAACTGTAATACTATTTATAGACCTCTTTAAACCTTATCATGGTTTGAAATTAAAGATAAACCCTGTGACACTTTGTGAAGATTACTTTCTTTGTGACGTCTTTTAGCGAGGCATATGCTTGGATTAAACTAGATCATTGACATGAGATCTTGTGCAATATCTTAAAACAATATTTTCATACCTACCAACTGAGACTAATAAAGGTTTATACAGTTGCAGTTAAGATTTTAACATACAGCATGAAGTGACACGGCCTATGCTATAAATAATACAAATCTAGCGATTAAAGGGATTTAAATGGATTGCTGGGAATCCCTGTGTAATGTAAAGCGTGAAACGACGGTTTTTTAATTGTAACTAGATAAAACAACAACAGCAACAACACAACAGCAGCGAAATATGCGGACACAGTTTATTGTAGGACGATTTTATGTGCGATGAAAATTGTACAATTTCACAATATGAAAAACAACACAATTTGTGCTATTCCATGGAGATCTAACAAACTTCTATACTGTGCTTATGTGTTAGCGGTATTTTGGTTTTTCATGTACAATATGGAGTATAGTTCGCACACTTACACAAAACAGACTGCAGAAGAAGTTCAAAGAGAAACCAGCATATGGAAATATTACTCATTGCCTAAAAATGTAGTTAATCCAATCAACGGAAAATTCCTCATTATGAACACGTACATCTGCGAAAGAGACGATCCGTACATGCTCGTCATAGTGCCTTCTAAACCGGATCACATTCGGATAAGAAACGCCATCCGAAAAACGTATGGTACTTTATCACGTGACAAAAATTCATACGCAAATAATCTAAAAATAGAACACATAGTGAGAATTATATTCGTAATTGGGAAATCTAATAATAACTCAATAGACAACGCAACGGATACAGAAAATGATATTTTCAAGGACATTCTAAAAGTAGATATGATTGACTCGTATCAAAACCTCACGCGGAAAATGTTACATGCGTTTAAATGGATTAATTTATACTGCGCAAATGTGACCTATATCTTGAAAGCGGATGAAGACGTTTTTGTTAATATAGCTATGTTATTAAAGCAGCTTAAGCAAAATAAACCCTATTACAAAGGTAATATTTTTGGGCATATCTTTAATACCGACGATCATTTACAAGTGCAACGAGAAAACACAAAATGGGGAGTAAAATTCAATGAATACCCTCTGGACAAATACCCGTCGTATGCTCAAGGAACTTCATATACTCTAACTAGAAATCTTATAGATAAAATTGTAAACACATCACAGTTCTTACCATATTTACATATAGAAGACGTGTTCATAACAGGCATTATATCGAATAAAATTCACGGTGCTCAACTTGTACAGCTGAATGGCACATCGAACTGGGGCGACAGTAAACCGGTGCCCTGCTACTTTGTGCAAAGCGGCCGTACAGCACAAACTTTAATGACGCATAAATTGATGTATGCAACGTGGCAAGCGATGCAATCATATAATGAAACATGCCAGCCAAAGGAAAGCCAGATTGCGGCTAGATAGCATTATGTTTACTCATATTTGCCATGAACTTTATGTTTTAATGGATTAACAATGAAAAAGATATACACGCACATGTTAAGTAATTATAAATTCTCTGAAACTATTATTTTATGTATTGTATATATTAAGCAATAAATTATAAAATAAAGATAAGAATCGATATTTTTATAACCTTGAATAATGAAAACATCCTAAGGCACAATCGCATCTTCACGGTCCTTCCTGTCAAACCTCGGATAAGATATTATTGGTAATAGCCGAGAGAAGTTCCGATTGCTTATGGGCATCGTTATCAAAATGCTTGTATGAACAAGTGTTCAATTCAATTCAATTCAATTCTTTATTAAGATGATTCAGGCCACCAGCCCATACATCACAATAAACATAAAACATAATTACATATTATAATACATAATCACAAAAAAAGTGAAAATTTACAGTAATTAACATAACAAGCAAGACTCGTAAATCACAATAAACACAAAACATATTTACATATTATAACACAAAATCACAAATACGATGAAAATCTACAGTAATCAACATATTTACGTGTGCGTCTTTAAAAAGAAGCATGCGAAAGGTCTTTTTGCAGCTGTGGAAGATTTGTTTGAAACGAAAACATTTGGAGGTATTTTTACGTAAAAACCATTTTTCATAGTGCTTAGTAACGTAAATTATATTTTTCGATTTTTCCTTGTACCGATTTTATTTATCACTTCGATGTTAATTTTTCTCTTAAGTTAAGTCGTATTTTTTAGCGGAGCATGCCATTACATTTTTGTAGTCTGATGACCTCTCCAATTATATTACGATATTAATTTAAATGTCATAAAATAGCCTCTCATATATTGTCTCATTGCCAATTCCGAAAAAGAACGAATAATGTTAAGAATGTTGTTTATCGCAATTCACTCAAGCGTTATACTTTCACAAGGAATAAAAAAAATTAATTAATGAAGAACCTACTGCACACGACTAAATTGTTTACTAAATTTCAGCAGGGGTGGGATGGGGTGAGGGTGCCATAAGTTAAAGTTCATATCCAGACCTTAGTTTAATTCTATATTTTATGCATGTTCTAATACTAATTAGCCAAATTCTAGTCGGTTGGTGCGAAATTATATCCCCTAATTCTGGGCTCGCACGTGTTTTACGATGCCCCTTTGATATACATGTGAAGTATAAAAAAAGGGTCGTTAATATAAAATTAACATTATTTTATATTTAAAGACAGTTATTGTCTACCTAACAATATCTATTACACAAAAATAAACGGAGGGGAGATAACTGTAACAAGACACTGGTAACGAGTCTTGCAATCGGAGCTTTTCGGCTATTTCCGCCAAACTTCGTCAAAATTACACAAATCCGCGCATTAGCTTACTATGGTATTATTAGTCGACATGTTTAAAGATATACTATGCTCATCTTTAAGTAAAATATTTTTTATTGCAGAAATATGTTGAAATCTATAAAAGTCCTGCTGAAAATGTCTTATTTTAAATAAAAGAATGTACAAACTTTGGAATCAACGTTTTTTAATACTGGTCAAGTAAAGTACGTCCTTTCTTAAAAAGAACTGCCAGTTTTTTTTAATGACACAATATATTCATAGTATGTCCATTTATATTGTGAAACCTAACATCTGCTTTGTATGAAGTAAAAACGAATTTATCATATACAGTCAAACTTGTATTAAGCGACCGCGCAAGGGAAACACCCAAAACGGTCGCTTAATGAAACGGTCTCTTAAGACAAAGCATGATAAAAAGTCAAAATTTATACATGACATCTTTCTTTTTGCGGTGGGAATGTTTTTCAACTTCATTTATATCAATAATGTATCTACAAAAAGACTGTGTAGCAATTATCAACCTTTTTAGATATCAAATTTGAGCAGAGTATACCGCCCCCTCAACAACCGGGCCATCCCACCCCCTCTTTATGCATTACCTTCGCTTGGAACGGTATTGTCAATTGCATTTAGGAAGACGTCTTCGTTGAAACCGAAAGTCCCAAAAAGGTCAACATTTTTTCTTTTTTTCTTACCATTATTTATGTATCTCTCAGATCTTTTGTTTGGAAAATTAATTTTTAATTGAAATACAATCATGTAGTTATTTATTGTCAAATACAATGTAATGCTTAATTTTATGCCACAACAACAACAACAACAGCAGCGACGACATCAATAATTTGTTTTAATTATATCAAACATGTAATAGGCTTATAGCCTGACTCGTTTTGTTTCCTATTGTAATATATTGGTAAATAAATGGGGGGACAGGCATATACATAGTTAATAAGTAACATCTAGTTGATAAGTAACACGTCTATTTTACATTTAAAGGCACATTATGCCTCAGAAACGAATACATTTGTACTTCTTTAGAAAAAGCAATGTAAATTGTATTATGTTTAAAAAATGGTTTTAGAGCATGTTAGATGTTCGTTACCTGTAAATGTGAAATAATTTGTCATGAAAGTAGCCAAATGTAAACAAAGTACTATTTTGACTCCCATGACTCCCATACAAAATACTAAATCACTGTGCTTTACTAATATCCAAATAGCAACAGAAGAAAATGATGGTTCAGGTTATTTGCCAACGGGTGACTCTTTGGAAATTATTATAAAAGTACACCAAATATTAAAATATTTTTGGGAACAAGCAATGCATTTCTCGGTTATAATGGGCCTTTTGCACAATAATAAACTAAACTTTGTAGAGTTTGTATAGCTTGTCAACCTCATTATTAACAATAATTATGTTGATATCATGCAGTAAATGCATCTAATATTACCGAGATGGAGAATTAGTTCATTTACGATAATGATGATGATGATGATGATGATGATGATGATGATGATGATGGTGATGATGATGATGATAATGATGATGATGATAATGATGATGATGATGATGATAATGATGATGATAATGATGATGATGATGATAATGATGATAATGATGATGATGATAATGATGATGATGATGATGATGATGATGATGATGATGATGATGATGATGATGATGATGATGATGATGATGATGATAATAATGATGATGATGATGATGATGATGATAATGATGATGATGATGATGATGATGATGATGATGATGATGATGATGATGATAATGATGATGATGATAATTATTATGATAATGGTGATGATGAAAATGATGATGATGATGATAATGATAATGATGATGATGATAATGATAATTATGATGATGATGATGATAATAATGATGACGTCGATAATAATGATGATGATGATAATGATGATGATTATGATGATGATAATGATGATAATGATGATGATAACGATAATGATGATGATGTTAATGATGATGATGATGATGATGATGATGATGATGATGATGGTGATGATGATGATGATGATGATGATGATGATGATGATGATGATGATGATGATGGTGATGATGATGATGATGATGATGATGATGATGATGATGATGGTAATTAGAGCAACAAAATCAATCAATAAGTCATCGGGTTGTAAAAAGGGGGGCGAGATGATAAGTTCATGACAGAAAGCATGTAGCAATAGGGTACATGTATATAAATGAATGGTAAAAACGTTCATTGGTAGAACTGGGGCCGACCCGGGTAAAACACATGGTGAGAAAACTAAATAATGCTAGCAAGTATAAGGAATATGTTGGGAGATTTATACCACGCGAAATACATTGTGTATTGACTGGGAAATTGAGAGAAAGAAACAATGGCTTTTATATACTACTTCGTATTTAAATGCGAGAGAAAATAGGATAGCATTAAATGACGAGTAAATAAATAAGAACGATTAAGTACTGTATTAAAATAATCGTGTGCTGGAGATTAAGTACAAGGCCGTAAAAATCATGGATTTAAAATATGGCATGTGAAACACTTGCAAATAATTTAATTATAATATTCTACATGTATTTCGGGAAAAGTTTTTATTTATCATGAATAAGAAAGAACTCAATTTTTTTTAAGGACGGCTGCGGACATAATTGTCCTAAATTTGATTACATGGATGATGCGTCCTATTTGTATGATAACAATCTAGTTTTCAAAAATTTTAAACATTTGTAAAAATAATAACATGTTAATTTTAAAATGGCCGTAAAGGTAGAGCTATTGGCAATTTTACATTTGAGCCGCGTCACGACAAAACCAACATAGTGCGTTTGCGACCAGCATGGATCCAGACCAGCCTGCGCATCCGCGCAGTCTGATCAGGATCCATGCTGTTCGCTATCAGTTTCTCTACTTTAAAAGGGTTTGTAAGCGAACAGCATGGATCCTGATCAGACTGCGCGGATGCTGGTCGCAAACGCATTACGTTGGTTTTGTCATGACTCGGTTCATTTAGACAAATATCTGTAATAGATAATATAGTTGTTTCAATCAAATGCTTCGCATATTTTATTAATTTTGAAGTTATTGAAACAGTTCCCTTGTTTTCTGATGGACATGCCATGGTTCAAGTAATTTTGTCACTGTTGTTGTCCGACTTGAACTTACCAGAAAGTTGTGCGCCAGTATTACGTAAATCGCCGAAATGGTCGGAATCTTTAAAAAAATGAATTTGTATTAAATTTCAATGAACATGATTTGTCGTACAAAATATATTAAACTTTATCATTATGTTCATACAAGTACATATAAATTTCTAGAATTGTACATATAAATTTCTAAAATTGTTATAGTGAAATAATAAAGGCGTTCTGATCAATCTGAGTAAATACATAAACTCGGCCAATAAAATTAGAAATGATTTAATGCAAATAATTTTTTTAAATAAATGTTTGAAATGTAAGCGTTTACTAGACTTTAAGATAGACAGTATTATTTGAAATCGTCATCAATGCATCAATATTTTAACATTTTTTTTTCTTTAAGTGAGTATTATCTTGACATGTTTGTAACGAAGTTATGCTCTTCCATATGTTATATTTATGATTAGATTACCACATTCAATTGTCATAACGTGCTGGTTCTTTGAACACCAACTTTGAAATTATTTCAATTATGATAATTTGTTCATTATATGAGAAACATTGGAAAAAAGTTAGCTTATCATCACAAAAGCGCTCACAAAATTGATATCTATTTCCTAAACATTGCGTTAAAGCGCGTGGGTGTTTGAAATTTTGTTTTGTTCAATAATATTGCAGTATTTCAATGAA